TTTTACCGACCGAGAAATGTGAACCAATTAATTTGAATTAAGCTTTTTGTAGTTTTTTTGAATGTTAAAAAGTGTTTTAATATTCACCGCGGAGAGTCCAAACACTGAAGAGCAAATACATCAATGTGCAGCTCCACAGGTCCCGAACCATGCAAACCAGTGGCGATTGATGGCGGCGAGAGAAAAAAAGCCACGTAGGCTATAATCAACTCCTTTTTTTTAAACGCAAAAAGCCCAGCTAGTCAGCCAGGTATGGTAGCGGCATTTCCAAAAAATGGCCAGATACATGAAAGACATTGACGAGAAATGGAGCAACATAATTAGTAGTTAAGAATGCCCCGCTCCGCAGTGTAGAGATCTGCTAAATAAAATAACTTGCGAAAAGGATGCAATAAAAAATGCAAGCTCTTAATCATTCTTCATAATCTGATTCGTACTTGCAATAAACCTATATTGTGCAGAAAAGAACAAGCCCTAAAACAAAGTCTAGAGAGAGAAGAGTAAATATTATGCAATTAATATTAGTGAATATTAATGATCATAAATCATTAATTTATGACACTGTAAACTTGACTTGGCTGGCTGATCATCTTTATACCCAAAAAGGCATTTTTAAGTGTCCTAACTTAAGACTGCTGCTGCATAAGGGGATGTTTCTTATTACAACTTTTAGCAATGTCAAAATGAAAGCAAACTTTAAAAAGGGTTTTGTTTTATTAATTGTATAGCTTATTAGTTTTAAATATAATGTATATATATTTAATATATATATAATGACTATAATAAATAATAATAATAATAATAGTAGTGTAGACTACTGTGCAGTGTCCAACAAAACATTTTATTAGGTTACTCTAATAGACCTAATCCCTAACTGAAAAACGAATGTGAAAATGAAAGGCAGTTGCGTCTGTGCTAAAATGAATTTAAGCCCCACACCCCTAAATAAATTAAATAAACACCACAACCGCCACACCGGCGGTTGTTGATGACTTACCACCGCGGTAGTAAAAAATTGCGTTTTCAAGGTATACCGCAGTTTGGAAAAGTCAAGGTTTTAAAACTGCCAATATTTTCTGCTGTACTGTCCCTACGGTATATGCAAGGGTTTTTATTTTATGTTATCAATTTTTCAGGACAACAGTATCTCCAGCACATTGACACCTTTACTGATATGAAAATGCTTTTTGATGCGAAATTAATTTATACAGTTATTCCTTAGGCAGATTAAAAAAAAAAAAAATGAGTAGACCTAGACTACTATAATTAAGCAAATATTCTCTAAATGTAGACCTCAATACATTGATATGCATTGAAATACATGATGAATACTCTTGACGCATGAAAAAGTAAAGCCTGCAGCTCACAACAAATGTGGAAGGTTATTGCGTGTCATATTTAACAAACTGTTTACTGCTAATGTTATGTAATTTAGTTGACATGAATAATTGAATATTAATCAGATGATGTCATTACACTGCTGTGCTGTCAGCCAATCGTTACATTGCTGATCATGATTTAGAGGATCGATAGATCTGTCCTTCACAACACACAAAGATCTCAGATCAGTTCATCCAGACATTTTAATCTGATTCTTGAACTTGTTTGAAGAACCAAATTAGCCAGAGATCAGTTATCAAGATTAAAAGATCCAGGATCTGCCAAATCATCTTAGATCTTTTAAACGAGGCACGAAGAACGGACCCCAGGTCACTGCTACGAATGACAATTTTTGTATGTCGCTGTTTGTTGTTGTACTCCTGTTATCCTGAGAGCTGATGCTGAGTTTTCTTAGGCATTTTCATACTTGAAACTGTTAATCCTGGGTCATTCTAACCCTAGTTAAACATTCCTGGGTTGTCTGTAGTTACCATCCACACTGCTCATGCTATACCTGGTTGTTAATTACCAGACGTTTCACATTCGCAAATCCCCGGGTTAACATTATTATTTGTATATTTCCGTTGTCACTGTCCCTGATTGGACAAATAGCAGGTAACCTTTTTAGATGGCATTTCTGCATCTTGTCGGGTATATAAAATGTCATAACGTAGGTCTTCATCTAAGCATCAGAACATGCACAAAGCCAAGAAAACAAAGACAAGTACAAGTGAAGTTTGTTTATAAACTTATTTTGAGAGAATCACATGCTTAGGATTGCTTGCGGCTGGTCTCGCACTATTTAATTTAGGATTCACCAATCAGACGATTCCTAAACCACTATAAATACCCTGAGTTCCATATCACAGCCATCTTCGTTTCAAAGAATCCCACCTTCCACCCCTACTTCTTCTCCTTTCCTAGATCGGTGGCACAAAAGCCCTGAGGTTAGCACTGTTGCCTCATAGCAAGAAGGTTACTAGTCCTTACCAAGCCAGCTGACGTTTCTGTGCAGAGTTTACACATTCTCCTGGTGCTCACGTGGGTTTCTTCCAGGTTCCCTGGTTTCCTTCCACTGTCCAAAAACATGCAACTTAAGTTACTTGACTAATCCAAATCGGCACCTTAGACATGCTCTTAGTAAGTAGTTATCTCTTAAGAGCAATCACTTTCTGTTTATTAGCTACTAGAGCAGATTAGTTCTCAAGATCTACCCGAGCTTAAACTTCCCTTTCGCATTGCAAATGGCAGGGAGCCTCAGGCTTGAGGATTGTTAAGTGTAAACACTTGGGGCCCTATCATACACCAGGCACAATGTGGCGCAAGGTGCGACACAATTGTTATTTGCTACTTTCAGCTCGGCGCAAGGGTCATTTTGAGGTGTTTAAATAGCAAATGCATTTGCGCTCAAATGTGTGCCCACAGGCATTCTGGTCTAAAAAAACAGGCGTGTTTTGGTGCGTTGCTATTTTGAGAAACTGTAAATAGTCTGATCTTTAGACCAGAACAAAGTCTGTCTATTGTCTGGCGAAAAGTGCGCCTGGCTTACACACTACACACAAGATGTAGAGCAATACGCATATATCTTTACATATGAAAAAGATATAATATATTAAGGATTTATATAATAAGGATATATATAGGATATAAATATAAATGATTAAAATATTACAAAACATATTAATTTCTAGCCTATATGAATTTAAAAACCACTGCCTTCATACTTTCTTCATCTCGGGAGGCTTTTCCAGTTCATTCAATTTGCTTTTGTATAATGTTATTAATATTAGCTGTATTATTTATTATATCCATATTTATATTTGTTTTATTAAAAACAAGCTTAGATTTGTCCACCTGTCAGGTTTTAGACCATATGTGGCACAGCATGTGTATTTGGAAATAACTTAGTATTTTGAGCACACTTAATTTTTATTGTTCATTTATTCGTTTGCTGGAATTTAGAACTGAATTTAGAAATAGTTTTGAAACAAATCTTTGCGCTTAACAAACGTAATTAATTATTTATAGGCTAATTGATGTCTGTGCGTTAAGGGTTCCCTATCCAAAAGAGCAAAAGCGAAAGTGAACTTACTTTACGTCATGTAAATATCAAATGCTCTGATGGCGCGTTGCAACTGGCTCTTAAAGGTAATGGGAGATGAGACTCTGATTGGTTTATTCTCAAAACACACCTATAACTCATTAAGAAAATAAACTCAACCCTTTCAGACCATGTGCCATGGCGCAAAGCGGATTTTCCCGTCCTTATATTAGAAAATTTAAATTATGACACACCCTAAATGCATTAGTGCCCTGCACTTTCCGTTTTGCGCATAGACCGTCAAAATAGAGCTCTTTAAATGAATGAAAACAAGTAGCAAAGTATGTCATCTTGCCATCTCCTCATCACTACAGTTTACAGCAAACATGACATTTAAGCATTTGCATATGTTCATTCATTAATTTTCCTTCAGCTTAGTCCCTTTATTCATTAGGGGTCACCACAGCGGAATGAACAACCAACTTATCCAGCATTTATTTTAAACAGTGGATGCCCTTCCAGCTGCAACCCAGTACTGGGAAACATTTGTTATATAACACAAGTTAAATACAAGAATGCAAACTCACAAAAATAAGCGTAAGTTATGCATACTTGCCATGAACATGCAGGAATTGTCTCACTCGGGTCTTCCAAGCAAGTTGCAAATGTTTAAATCCAGTGGAAAATGCACATGAGGAAACACAACATGAGTAATCTAGAGCAAGTGCATTTGATCATTTACATTTAAAGCCACAGGCACAAAAACAGCTTGGTTTTCCTCTGACCCCAAAATTAAATATTCTTTATTTTGTATAAGGTATATGATCTGATTTTGAGCTGAAACCTCAGACACATTCTGGCAATACCAGACTTATTTTATATCTTGTAAAAAAAGGTTCATAATAGGAACTTTAGAGGGATAGTTGACGCAGAAATAAAAATAGCCTCACTATTTACTTTCCCCTCATGTGGTTTTAAATCTTTACAAGTTTCTTGATCTTGTTAAGCACAAAAGAAGATCTTGTGGAAAAAACGCTGGCTTTCTTTGTGTTCCAGAAGAAAGGAAATGTTTAAAACCACATGACAGAGAGTAAATGGTAAAGTCATTTTCATTTGTGGGTGAAACATCCATTTCATGCTTATCGCTTTGGGCCTTCATACTAAAGTTCACTTTTTTTTTTTTTTAAGATCTGATGGTGCAGAAAGAAGAGACTCAATGGAATGAAATGGAAGAGAAACATCAAGACATAACGACTGATGAAAAACCCACACTCACTAAAAAGACTTCATTACGCAGAAGACCTCGGAAATCCAAATCTTTTTTCAGCAGTAAACAGTGTAGAAAAAGTTTCAGTCAAAAGCCAAAGCTTGATGTTCACATGAGGGTTCACACAGGGGAGAAACCTTACACCTGCGAACAGTGTGGAAAGAGTTTTCCTAAAATCCATGGCTTTAAGGCCCACATGAGAATTCACATTGGAGAGAAGCCGTACAAATGCCAACAGTGTGGAAAGAGTTTTAAGCAAAATAGCAACCTTGAAGTTCACATGAGAACTCACAATGAAGGAAGAATTTTTACTTGCACACAGTGTGGAAAAAGTTTTGCTAAAAAACACAACCTTAACATCCACATGAGGATTCACACTGGAGAGAAACCTTACACATGCACAGAATGTGGTCAAAGTTTTCCATATAAAACCACATTCAGTATCCACAGGAGAATTCACACTGGAGAGAAACCTTACAGATGCACAGAGTGTGGTAAAAGTTTCACACATAAAACCACACTCAATAACCATAAGAGAACTCACACTGGAGAGAAACCTTACAGATGCACTGAGTGTGGTCAACGTTTCCCATATAAAACCACACTCAATAACCACATGAGAACTCACACTGGAGAGAAGCCGTTTGCATGTGCTCAGTGTGGAAAGAGCTTCAGAGCCAAAGCTAGCCTCATGAATCACACGAATCTTCACACTGGAACCATAGTGTTCACATGTGATCAGTGTGGAAAGAGTCTCACACACAAAGACTCCATTAAGAACCATATGAAGACTCACTCAGGAGAGCGTTTTAGATGCAGTGAGTGTGGAAAGGCCTTTAAACATAAAAGAAGCCTCAGTGCTCACATGAAGCTTCACAATGGAGAGCAGAGTCCTCAACATTGAGGCCTTGTCCACACAAACACGGGTATATTCAAAACGGCAGCTTTTTCATGTAGTTTGGCTGTTCATTCATGTGAGAAATGACGAAATCCTTTCGAGAGGATCACATGCTTATGATTGTCCACGGCTGGTCCTGCATTAGCTAACGCATGATTCACCAATCAGATGAATCCTGATTCAATATAAATAACTATGGTTTCTTACTTCAGTTATCTTCATCTTGAGGAATCCCCCCACTCCCCCTCCTTTCTAGATTGGGCAACACGGTGGCACAGTGGTTAGCACTGTTGCCTTAAAGCAAGAACGTCACACGTTAAAGTCCCCACTGAACCAGTTAACATTTGTGTGGAGTTTTGTTCATTCACCCGATGCTCGCGTGGGTTTCCCCTGGGTTCCTTTCACAGTCCAAAATCACATGACCTAGGTAAACTGAACATTCTAAATTGGCACCATAGTCGAGCTCTTAGTAAGTCTTATATCTCCCTTTAGCATTCTCTATATCTGTCATTAGAACAGAAACAAGTCGTTCAAACTCCCCTCTCGCCCTGTTTACGGAAAGGAGCCCAGGGCTCGAGGATCCAATGAGCTTAGAGCTCTCTCGCGGAACAAGTGTGAACTCTTGAACACATATCCAGTTACTGAAAATGAAACCCTTTGAATACCTGAAGATTTAAACTCAACAACTGAAAAGGGGTGAAGATTTTACTGTTTTATAGTGTAGATCAGGGGTCAGATCAGATTGTAGTGTGCATCTGAGTTGCTGCCGCACTGCAAGAATGCAAAATAACTCTATATGTTGATAGATTTTGTGGCTTGTTTCATATGCAAACAAGTATCTGCATCTGAGAAGGTCTGAACCAAATGGTCTACATGAACTCAAGAATTGTGACCCAACCAAAGTAGTTGGGTTATCTCAGAAGGGTTACATCCTTTGTTATAAAGTAGTCTCTCACAGACTGTACTTTGGATTAAGTTACTTGAAGACAGACAAGTTAACATCACTGCTGAGAAACTGCACTATTCTTTGTCTTCAATAAAGTCTTCTCCCCGTAAGAACTTTGGTCAGCTTACTTATTTTATGTATTAGAGTCATCTAATACATTGACGAGCCACCCAAGAATGGTTCAGCCAAATACAGCAAAATCTGACAATGTGTTTCAACTGTATTATGAACCGATATCTATAATTGTGCAAAATACACACATTGTGAAACTGCAGGGGTCAACACAATTCTTTCATGTTGTCGCAACACAAATTAAATTAACTTAACACTTTTAACAAATTTATGTAAATTGATCATAAAAAATTAAGTTGTCCCAATGAAATCTCAAGAATTGTTTAATCAAAAATAAAATAAAAATTGATTAATAAAACATTTTAATTAATTAGTTTAAACAAGTAAAAATGTGTGTGTGTGTATATATGTATATATATATATATATATATATATATATATATATATATATATATATATATATATATTAGTGCTGTCAATCGATTAAAAAAATTAACTAATTAATCGCACCTTTATGAAAATTAATCTCGATTAATCAAATTTAAAAGACAGAAATTTGTCATTTCCGCTATTCAAATGTAAAATATATGTAAACGCAAGACAAAAACTATTTAAATTCAAAATATAATTTTTTATTAGAATTTTTGTTTAACTTGTTACACAGATTTCATGTAAACAACATATCTATAATAAACCATCAAGATCCTGGCATGACAGGCATATTTATTACAGAAATTAAAACACAGTCATGTTAGTGCCATATGAATTTCAAATCAATCAATGTATTGAATAATAGGAACCATTTTTATTTTTTTTTTGTCTCTTTTCTTTTAATCAAACAATTATTTGTATTGGTCATGTAAGGGTCATATATTAACTGAACTTCTAATGTTGTGGGTGAGTGCTGTGCATACTAATTAGCATTTTTGCAGAAGTAGATAGATGCGGGTCCAAAATTAAATTCAGCTCTGCAGAAACTTCCTGTCTGAAGAGAGGTGTTAAAACTGAACACAGAACACAGAAAGATGTATACTTTGTTGTTGGGCAGAGAATTCGTAGTAAAAGAGGAAGTATGTCGAAGGGGCGGCCAATGGAGGACTGAACAATGACTGACAAGTGACGTTACACCAAAACTCCTCCTGTTAAGATCGGTTGTGTATATATGCTGAAGTCAGGAAATGTATGTTAGTTGCGAACCTCTTGAATGTAATTCTTGTATTGCATTGGGGTAATGTAACCCAGAGCTCTGTCATCGAATTATTCATTTGTATCTAATAAATTACTAATATTTTTGACATTGAAGAAAAACCTCTCAAGACCTTTTTATATTGAACACGCATGGAATAGAGATAGATATTCCAACAATTTGGTGACCCCGACGTGGAAAAGGGGGAGAGGAAGTTATTGATCTGTCGTATTGCATTGACATCATCGGCGCCAAAAAAATAAGGTAAGCAGAAAACCTGTTACATCGAATTTCTGCAATTGGCCTAATCTAAATTGTTTGATGTCATGTGATATGTAGGATTGATGTAGTTAAAAGTATAAGCATTTGAATAATTCGATGAGTTTAAATGTATATATGCTTTAAATGTTAACCGGTCTGTCAGAATAATATGAAGAAATAGATAGGGTAGTTTAGAATAGTATAGAATAGTGTAGAGAAGACTAATAGTTTAGGATAGAGTAGTATAGTGTAGATACAGGAAGGCCAGGATGGGCTGAGACTGTATTGCACAGGAGACCAGATAAAGCTGTGACTGTGCAGCTTCGGGTATTATTACGTTTTCGTCATATGGCATTCACTAAGTAAATCAGAAAATAATTTGATACACTTTGACTGTTTTTGCTTGTTTGGTAGAAGGAAAGATCAGACGAGGTCTGTGCTCCTACACTGAATTAATATAATACCATCCTAGGGTGTGCTGTTCAGGTGACTGCTGTCTCTGCCAATACTGTGATTTTATCTGGGCAACGGCATTGACTGAATTTTGGGCTATAAGGGCGGGAGTCCGAGGGACGAGCCGACGGGTGGTCCCGAACAGTCTGGGTGCAAGCCCCTACGTTTTAGTAGGTCCAAGCGTTAAAGACAGCTATAGGGTGAGATTGTAAATAAAATTAGGGACAGTTTAATCGCCGAGGTTGTGACTGTGTGTGGATAACTTGCTTCACTGAGGTTGTGACTCTGTAGAAAATACAGTGAAAATAATAATAACAATAATAATTAAACATACATAGAAAAGATTAAACATACATAGAAAAGTCGACTCTGTTGAAGGCGAGTGTAAATATAAGAAGTGATTAGAAGTTGAGAATTGTGAAAAGCGCGCATTTTATTTTATGTAAATGTTTGTCTGTTGCGTTAGTGACTAACAGTTGAAATAAGCATAGTGTACAGATATTTAGCCGGCTGTATATAAGCGTATATGATATTCAATTAAATGTCATTTAGAATTGTGAAAGTTCAGTAATTGGCAAAGTGCAAGAAGTTTGCAGGTGAAAATTTGATTGTTTGAGGAGGATAAATATATATATATTTTTTGATTGTGTATGTGCAGTAAATGCAACATACAGAAGTTCATTAGTGAGTGTGTGAAAAACACTGTAGATTCGAGGAAGTGGAGGTGTGAAAAATGCATAATTAATTCGATTAAGAATGTGAGCAATATGGAAATGTCATAGACAAAATTAAAAACTCAATGGGACAAGTGGTAAATGATTGGAACTAAGAAGAAAAAATTTTGGAAAGGAAATGAGAAACAATATATGAGAAGCTTAAATGTGAAAATTGTGTAAAATATGTGAGTAGAGCAATAATTGAACAGTTAAATTGGCTACAATTTTGAGAAACAGAGAATTTGAGTTTTACAAAGTTAATAACATAGTAAAAGGGGGCAATAAAGATGTTGTGGTAGTAAGAAATGGAAAAAAATTAGTTGGAATTTGTAATGTGGCATGATTTTGGCATTTGTTGGAACAGCTGTAGAAAGACCGATGAGGGGAGAAAAAAGAGGAAGTGCTCAGGCAGACAATCTTAGACAGACTGACAACAAAAAGGAAGTCAGAAAAAAGGAGCCACTCCTTTTCATGAGGAAGAAGCAGTTGAAGTAGGGGCAGAAGGAGAAAATTATATTAAAAGAGTATATAAAATTGTTTTGATTAAATAATGATAGACTGTGATATAATAATTAGGGATATAGTATCAGTTACAAAATAAACAAATCTATTACAATGCGGTATAAAAAAGACAAGTGAAATAAAGAAATAATGGGAAATATGCTTAATACAGTTATATTTGTTGAAATGGAATTTGAAGCTATACGAATGAATATATTAATAAAGAAATGAATTTACTAAATAGAGGAGGGTGACTAAAACAATAGACCAGTAGTTGTTGACTAGAACAATAAGAACAAATAAATTAATAATACTAATAGGAAAAATAAAGAGAAATTAAAATACAACATAAAGACCAGCTATTAAAGAAACATTAGAATAAATATATTTGAGGAAAAATGAGGAAAATGACTTCGAGATGAGCTGTTAAACAGCAAAGAGATAAAATTGGCATAAGTCTCTGGTCGATGAAGAGAAAAATTAGAAGAAAATGTGACAGTTTAATATTGATCAACTGAAGAGTGAATGAGCAAATATGTAAGGAAGATAAAAAATATGGATAAGAAAAACTTAAAAGCTTAGAATTAAAGAAATCCAAGTTATGGTTTGATAGAAAGAAGAAGAAGAAATGTTTAAAATATATTGAAATAGGTTTGAAAAATATTATATACATAGAGAGAGAGAAAGACAGAGACATTAAACTGATGAGATAGAAACTAGAAAAATAGTTGCACTTGTAACACTTTGGGGAAGTAACACTTTGAGGAACTGAGATTTGATGTGAGAGGACAAGATTGAGTTTAGGTGCAAAAACTAAATAGAATAATAATATTAGTAATAATAATGATTAAAAAAATTGTTATGGCTTACACTGGCTGTTTTCATCTATGAAAATCAGCAGCATAAGACTATCTAAGCCATCATCTAGGGTCAAAGAAAAATCATGGACACTTAGTGGATGTGGATGAACAAGATGAAGTGAGTTTAATTTTTCTAAATTTAAAAAGGATAAACACCAAGAAAGAAATCGATAATTAAACATTGCATTTCAGATATAAAAATATATGTTAAACAAACATGAGGGGTCAAGGCCTAATATGAACCCTGAGATATAGCAATAATGTTGAACAATTATACCACATGGTAGGCCATGTCATAATTTGTGTTTTATGAATAATAACCCAACTGTGTCTTGTTTTTTAGTCTCCACCATCGTAGTGCCCTACAGCTTTGCCTGCAGACTAAGCAGACCATAGTGCTGAGTGGATGGTAGTGAAGATGTCAAACTTTACTTAAAACTATTATTGGGGGTCAAATTGAGATTAAACTTAATAAAACCTGTCTCATTGGTTAAACTCTAGAATGTGGTCTCAATGGCTCACATGGTTCTTGAGTGCATGTTTCCCTAACATCAGAGATACCAAGTTCTGAAGGAAAACTGAGAAGGAGGTTGCAGTGGAGAAGAGCAGTAACTGGTCTCCATGAGACATTATTCCAAAGACGGGTAAGACTCTCGTTGGCCACCAGGAGCGACCTAAGCCAGGAATTTTGTCGCGGAAGACTAGGCACCTGTACAGGTAGGCAGGTGTTGAGTGAGATGGTTGTGGAGCGGAGCAGTGATGCTTGAAAGGCCTAGAGCATCTGAGTATGGAGGGGCACTGTGAAAGATCAGTAGTCTGCCTCAGAAATGTGGGCTCCTCCAAACCGGACCACAGCAAACTGCTAATTATGTCTGGAGATCAGACACTCAGAAAAAGGAACTTGTGGGTAAAGTAAGAGGCAGGGTGCTGTCAAGAACCATTTGAGACCATATGATGACTGGTAATATGAAATTTATTAAGGTTTTGTTATGAAAATAATAACTAAGAAAAAGACTTAAAGGAAAATATACAATGAATCTCTAAATGTATAATGTTGAAATGATATTTAACTATTTTTGCAAATTTTCATAGGTTTACTGATACAGGGCATGAACACGATATAGGAGGAAGTACAATGTATGGTGGTGACTAAAGAAGAAGAAACAACTATTGGTAACTGGAATCATTTGAATTATACATTTTGATGGAATTGATTATTTAAGTAAAGATTTACTA